ATATATATATATATATATACTAAAAATTATCTGCATTGAATGTCATCTATTATAAAAGCACCTCAACTGTCGCAATTAATTATTCAGAGACACATTTACAAACGATCAGTCCGCGGCGTTGGTAGTGATGTGGTCAGAGGCAGCGCTTGGCGGCATTGGTGGAGGAGGAGAAGGCGGTGTGGGTAGCGGAGGCTGCGATGGCGCGAGTTCCAGCAGCGGCCGCTCGCCGCCTCCGCCCGCTGAAACCGCACGGCCCGCATGCATAACGAAGGCTGCCCGTCCCCCACCCCGTCGCCCCGTGGAGGAGCCCTGGCAACCTGCTCGGGTTCTCGCACGTAACCTGAGACGCTGTTTGCGAAAGGGACGCCCCGACGCTGCCCCGGCCGTCTCCCACGCGCCCACCGTTGCCCCGATCCCGAACGCGTTCGCTGGGGTGGACCTCCGCCCCGCTCCCCTCTTCGCAACTCGTATCTCACCCTACCTTCTCATCGTTCTGTTTTCTCACCGTTTCTCCACCTGCCTCACTCACATTTCACCATCTTTTGATCTGTCTTGCAATATGTGACCTGCTGTTGGTTTGCGATATCTGCCTAGTGCTTCATTTCGTTTTATTCCCTGTAGATTCAAATCACTGACGCCAACATTCTCAAGAGCAGACTTCTCCACATAATTTCCGTTTTTGCATTACCTGTTTTACGGATTTCCTGTTTCTCTCACATGCTTCTCAAGACGTTCCAGATCTTTTCTTTACACGTTCTCAAGATTAACTTCAACCATTTCCCTTCTCAAAGTATTTATTAGTTCCAAACTGCATGCAATTGCATATAATTCACACACAAACAAAAATTCACAATCATTTGTTTTATCCAGTTGCTTTTCTTTTCTCCAAATATTGAACGACGAATCCTTTTCCTTGCCTCCCACCTCTCAAGCCACTATTTCTGCCGTCCCTCTGAAGCGCCTCCCAGCCGTTTCGAGGGGCTTTAGCCTCCCGAGAGGACCTTCACAAGAACCGCACGCGCACTCGACTCTGCTACCTCCATCACGCCGTGTGCTCCCTGGCTGTCCACGTAGTTGAGCCACCTCCATAACGTGTGTCCCGCTCCGACCGCGACAATACCGTGGTTCCAGGAGGTAGCTCGCACGCGGCACTCTCCCCCCCCCCCGCAAGCTCACGACGGCGACGCGCAGTGGGCCAAAATAACACTGGGGAGGGAATCTGAGATATCAACGAATTCGAGTTCGCATAAATAGGGCATTATGCAGCAGGTTTGTAATGTCATGCGTTATTCTAAATTTAATGTTCAGTGAAAGAGAGATGTTAAAAGCGAGTGTTCGAATATTTACTGAAATAATACAGCTCATAATTCCATAAACAAGTTATATTACCTATTTTTTAATATACCATAATTGATTAAAAAGTGATAACAATTTCGGAGTTTAGTTCCAGCTCCATTTTGTTTTCTTTTTTGTTTCCGAATGTCACGTGTTTATGAAACATTTGATACAACGAAAAATATTCTTTCTAATGAATAATTACAAAAAATTCATTAGATCATGTCCCGTTTTGATTGATTTTTCTTTTTAATAAATAACTTAAACTGGAAAACAAATTGGGAGATACTGTGATTCTTCGTAGTTTGTACCTCAAAGAAGGTTTAAATTAAGAAATGTTTCCATCTAATGGGGCTTCAGGCTTTAAATTTCAAATATACAATTAAGATGCAATGAATTAAGAAATTAGAGGAATTCGAATTATAGTCATACCCTTGTGAAGTTCCTGCCCACACTGCATGTCATTGAATTGAAATGTGCCGTTTTCGTCGAATATTTCACATGCATATTGCACATGCATATTCCCCCTTTTATATCCATAACGACGCACGTTGCACAATGAAAAGCTTCGTCTTTGATATAAATTTGAAGCAACGAACGGATGAGCGGAACTTGAGATGGGGAGATTCAAACAAAAGCTTTACCAGATCCCATTTTTCACACCACAAATTAACAACTTCTGCCCGGTATTTAAATCCCTATACACAGAGGTGGAATCACCTTACATTTTTCAAGATATTTATTAAGGTTTGCTATGAGCTAATGTTATTCGTTAAGACACTATTACTCGTAAAATAAAAAGGTGATTCATTAAACAATGAAGAGAACATGAAAACGGTAATAACAAGAAACAAAGGAACACAGGTAAAAGGAGCACCCACCGAAACACCACGGTATCTCATGCATTTTTTTCAAGTAGCGTATTTCACAATTTTTACTCTTTCTCTCTTTCCCTTCGTGTATCTGACTGCGCGCCCTTCGGCCCGCTCGGGACCAGCCAAGCCTCCTCCCACCCCAGCAGCTCCATCCCCACTGGCGCCCGCTGCCCATACGAAACAGCGGGTGACACTCCGCTAACGCCTCTGGGGCAGCAGCCGCCCAACTTCGTTACACGCCGACTACCGTCTCGCCCCGGCGCCGGCGCTGCCGCTACGAGGCGCCAAAAGTCGTTTTCGCTCTCGCAGCGGAATTCTGGACGCTGTTGCGAGGACGTGCAGTCTCGTGTTGCTGAAACTCCATCCCTTTACACCGGAGTTTTCACTTACATAATTCCGCGAGGCGACAAATAAAAACGCAGTGTCGTCTACATCCCATTTATTGGGATTATTGAATTTAGTCCATAATCGCCCCCTGAATAGTCCTACGTAAATCCAGAAAAATAATTTTAAATTTCAATTTTAATACCGCCAAAGTTGCGAACATACAATTGTTTTAACAACATACTGTGTAGGTCTCAAATATTTATCAGCTCTGTAATAAATGTAAAATAGACACTCATTACGAAAGGATAAATAGTTCAATAATTAATTTCATTCAATACTTTGTCAGGAGTCGTGATAGAACTGAAGCGTGGGCAGTACTGTATAATAGTTTGCTATTCTTGGAAACTGGGAGAGGTGGCTTAGGGTATCAACTGATGTTACTGTAGTGCCTCTGACCGGAAGGTCGAAGGTTCGAGACGCGACGTTGGCAAGATATCCGACACTAACTACAGAACTTGATACAAATTCAGCCGCTGTTTGGAGGTGAATTCTAGCGGTCGGCTGCTGTGATCGGTAATTTTTCATGGTTTCTCCCATCAACATCAGGTGAATGCCCGAGGAGTACCCTAAAAAGCGGACCACGGCCCGCACGCGATCTGTCCTTCCACTTCCTTGTCCTATCCTCAACCCTTACTTACAAACACTTACACTAACATGCACTACACTATAACACATGTGGTGGGGTGGCCCCAATTGGCGGGAGATAATAGGTTGTGGAAAACCCCGCTATCAGACGCTAGGTCAGCGTCTCTCACCATCCAGCGAGAGAAGATCACCGCCACATCCTGAGGAGAAAACATGTACTACACTTACGGGACTAATGAACGTTGCTGTTGACGCGCCCGGAATCACTAATCAATCAACTATTCTCGGGCCACATTGTCCGTTACGTGCTGTGACAATCACACAAAATTCCCTGTTAGCTGACACCCCGGGCGAACCGTCCTCCAAGTGCACGCCACCCCTGTCCCGCGGCCTGGGTCGCCGCCGCCCTCCCCCGCCCGGGCCGGAAGTGGCGGAGTGGTTTCCGGAGGCGCCGCCGACCTGCGCGCCCTCTCGAGCCAGACCGAGCCCCCTCGACACTCGCCACACTCCTATGACCCCCCGCCCCGCGGGCTAAGAGTTCCCCTGGCCGCCCTTCCAGCTCGGCTCGACCGAATGCCCTTTGACGCGACCATGTAGGCCCTGAGGAAGGGAAGCACGGGACAAGACCAACAAAGGACACGCCACCCGCAAACTTGAGAGTCAGAAGAGAAACGAGACAGAGAAAGCAAGGACTAAATGAAAGTACCATGGACGCATGTATAGGTATAGAAGCTAGATGGTCAATCCGTATCTACTTAATATATAATATATATATATATATAATAAACATTGCTGATCGCACTGTAAAACACTTGACAGGACAAACAAACGAAATCAAAAGGGGATAAAGAAAATAAAGTGATATTGAATTAATGTACTAAAATGAGAGGTTAAAAGCCCAAATCAAAACAAACCAGGATTTATACCAATAAGATACCGGGAGAAAAGGAGAAAATCCAAAAGGAAATGTTTATGTATTTGGCATTTGGGTTCAGATTAATCCGACTTCTGCAAGCTAGCCGTGTTCCCTATTACATCTCAGGTATAAGTTGAACTGTATAAGTAATCATTTTATTAAATTATAATTAGGTTACCTTATATTTAATCATTTCCATCATATTTAATTCATATCTTGCTTAATTAATGATGCTAGACTTTAATATATACTCTGTAAATATTGTAAATCATTTTTGTAATGGTATAATGCTGTATTTTGGTCTATAAACATGAAAAAAATACACCTTAATTTATATACAAACAAGACTATTGATTTTTGTATATGATCTATGGAGTTGGTGTGTTTCACTTGTTATGAGAGCTTGTGTGCTTTGCGCATAGATGGCTGCCAATCGACTTCTATTGTCCATTCTTCTTATGATACATATCCACAACAAATGAACGTGAGTTATGACACCATCTTCCTATCCCGCCAAAAGGCATTTCCATTAAGTGAAACACGCATCAAAATCAGTTCAGCCCTCTCGGAGATTACTACAATACAGAGAGGAAAGAGTCAATAATCGTAAAAACAATGGAATTGATTTTTAATATCATCAAAACAAGCACACCAAGTTAAAGAAATAGTTGAAATCACTAACGGACACTCTAACTTAGAGTATATAGTTTGTAATATGAGGGATGATTAATGGGTGTATTTAATTACAATATTACTGAGACTTAAAATAGAGTGGGGACCGAGTCCCAAAGAGTTCCAGATGCAAGGAAGCAGTAACTAAAGGAGATAAAGAGGAACGAAGAAAGAGGCAAGGGGCCTCTTCATGCCGTGTGCGAATCAGAATGACTCGGCCGAAGTGCCCCTTGACAGCCCTGAATAGGCTATCCGTCAATCCGCCTGAAAGCAGCAGTCACTGGCGGAGGGCGGCCTCGCATCAAACGGAGCAATGACTAACGCCAATACATCTCGCCTCGCCTCGACGTTCAGGCTACTACACGGCAATGGTGTGACTCAGTTGTCACTTCCACTTTCAATGCTGCTACGTACTATAATTTCCAAAGGAAAGAAATGACCAGAGAGCTCGTTTCATTCTTAATAGATGACGTCGTATGAACAAGATATCTTTGAACCGTGTGAATGAGTTTATAACTCATAAACTATATTTTATAGAAGAGCAACAGACCTTGTAATCGGGTCAATCTATTGGTCGCTGGACTATCTCAGAATTAAGAGTTTTTTGCCGAAAATTCGCCGCTTATCGCACAGCATTACATAGCTTTACCTCTACTGCCAGAGAGTAAAAAATCATACTTTGTATTTAAATTCATTTACGTTTAGGGAGTTCACAATCGCCTTTCAAAAACATATTGCACGTAGTTCACAATGACGTTTGTTTCAAGTCGCGCGCCAATTTGCGCATTTGTAGTAGACATTTACGGTTTTACTTAGCTCTTTACTCTTGTCGCTTTTTAAACTAAAATGCATTGGATTCAATAAACGGTAGCCTACATATCATACTGATAGTTTTTATTACACAGAGAAATGTGGCCTTTCTTAGTATTGATATTATTATTCTTCACCCGGCAACACTGTAGCGCTGAGTAATGTACAGAGCCATAATTGTATACTACAAACTCGAAAAATGGCGCGCATTTGTTGAAACAACAAATGACCGCGAGGATGTGCGCGAGATTTACGTCGGCTTGCGGGGGTTTTCCTCCTCTCCACCAGGGCATCGCCAGAGACAAGACAAGCTCTAAGTAAGCTTCTGACTGGTCTCCCGGCATGTGTGGCAGTGTAGTGCACGTAAGTGTGTGTACGTAAGGCGTGAGAATATGACAAGGAAGGGGAAGGAAAAATCGCGCGCCTTCCATGGTCCGTTTGTGAGGGTTCTGTTCTGGCATTCGCCTGGTGTTGATATGAGATACCGCGGAAAGCATCCGGCCGCTAGAATTTCCGGCTGAATTCGACATCGCTAGTGCCGACATTCCTGCTACCGTGGGATCTGGAACCCCACGCCCTGGCCGTCCGCGTCGCTGCAACGCCGTCTTCCTTGCGTGGGCACTCACATATGATGTTGAGCGCGGCGGGGCCGGTGGTCTGCGAGAAGCCCGAGCTGGCGTTGGTGGCGACGCACGTGAAGTCGCCGCCGTCGCGCATGGGGTCCACGCGCCGGATGAGCAGGTCGGGCCCCACCTGCTGCACGCGCGTCGAGTTGCGCAGGCGCGCGCCGTCCAGCTGCCAGTGGTACTGCAGGCCCTGCGCGCGCGACGCCAGGCACTGCAGGCGCGCGGGCTGCCCGGCCACCACCGTCTGCGCGGCCGGCGCGCGCTTGAAGAAGAAGTGCTCCTGCGCCGCGCACAGCCCTGCAACAGCGCACGGCGTGCCACGTCACGCATCGCTCTGCTCTGCACAAACTGCAGGATACGATGGTTATTTATGCTCTCGGTGCAGGAAAATGTTATAACTGTATTACATTGTATTATTATATAATATTACAATGTAATTATTTTTAATCTGCAAATCTGTGTTTTTTAAATGGATGGTAAAAGGACGTTTATTTCTGCGCGCTACTGTTTCGGCATCGGAACTGGATGCACAAGAACGAGTGTTTTACACTGTCCCTTCGTTTTCTACACGCAATCATGATGAAAACATTTCTTCTGGACGCAAAAATAAAAAATAACCACTGAAGATCAAACATTTGGACATAGCATGTATGGTAACAAATTAAGTTCAGTTATCTTAGAACTGAGCACGGAACGAGACATTACAACACAGGGCATGTTTTATTTCTCACTATATAATAACTTCACATTACAATTCAACACATCACAACGTTCTCCAAACTGTACAAAAGGAACCAATCGCACCACACGTATAGCAAACCGAAGATTATATAGCATCGTAGGCTTTCACAGCCGGAGTCAATAGAAGATAAAGTTTCTGGGCTGGTAGGCTGTGGCTTTGAAGGGCCAAACGTTTGATTCACGTCTGCGGTTGATATCCTCATCCATCGCGACCTGCCGTCACTGAACTATATTTGAATCCATGTTTCTCTTTATTGTATAATGTATGCAGTAGCTAAAAGACTTGCAATATTTCCTCGTGACTGATCTCAAATAATTTAAGGATAGATTTCGCGAGGGAAAAAATTAAAACACTATTACTTTTGTATTTTTTTAAATCTAATCGTAGAAACTTAAATGAATTTCCAAGAACCAGCCAATTTGAAAACTGAAATTAAAAAATTAAATTAAAAATAAATAATTATAAATGTATTTTTGCGTACGCATTTCTGCGTGTGAGAGTCCAACTCTCTTTGTGAGTACGTAAAGAGCGGGGTCTTCAAAGAGAAGAAAGTAAGACAACAGAGCTTCGAGCAAGACATAAAGCAGCTCATTCCCCACCTCCTCCGCGCAGCCGCTCCCACCGCAAATCTATCAACTCTTCAACCCGCCCCCAAGAACACATCAGACAAACGCGAAACAACAACGTTTACTTGCCGAAATTAGCCGGCAATTGAATGTCGGCGGCGGCGACACACGCGGCCGGCGCCCTTCGCAAGGGAGGCGCAAAGGGCCGCCGGCGCCTCCGCCCCCCGCGAGGGCGCGCGGCAGGTCGAGGGCCGGCGCCCGGGGCGAGCGCGCGCCTTTGTGACGCCGCCGCCGCCGCTCCTCGCGACGGGGGAGGGCAAACACGTTCACGGGGCCGCGACTGCACGGCTGCCGCAAGCAGTGGGACAGACCGGGGGGCAGTCGGCGCTAGCACGCCACGCACCGTGCCGGATACTCGGATTGACACGAAATTTCACCAGCGTGTTCAGCATCTTTCTACATCCAATTTTTTAAGTGTTACGAAGCATTGCAAGTAGCAATTAGTATTAAGACCTTATTAAGGCCTTTCTGTCTGTCGAAGCACGGAAATCGCCGCGCGCCGCCGCCCTGTTTGCGGGGTAGCAATTGCCTCGAAGGGCTCATAGCATGAAGGGCGGCAAAGCCGGTGTTTACGTTGCAGGTTCAGTTAGACAAGACGTTCGAATGCAAGCTTGAATAATCCAAATACATTTATTGCAGAGATATAGGTCCCTGAAAATGTAACTTCGATAAACAAATAAAGAAACAAATAAATAAATGTATAAATAAATAAATCCATTTCACTTTTCAGTTAAAAACAAAATTTCACAGTATTGGGTCTGATAAAATATTTCAAAACAGCAACAGTAATGTCATAGTTCACCATGTGTAAGATTCTTTTTCAGTTTCATTACCAATAACATTGATTAAAGGTATCCTTACAACTCTCTTCGGTAGAATTATTAAGACATATGTCAAACTCTGCGCTTCAAACTAAACTTTCTGACGGATATGGCCTTTGCCATCAGTCCTGAAAAAGGAACGCGCAAAACGTCCCAAAAACTATTTCTAATATTCGACAGCACTTCAAAATTTGGATATGTGGGTTTTACATGGTGTTCTATCACCTGGCGTCATTTTATGAGAATCTGAATATCCATATCCATCATGAGTGTTGGTTTAAAAGTCCCATCCACTCTCAAGCGGGGCTTGCAAGCGTGGCTTGTCTCGGTTGTAAATCTTCCCCGCCGCCGCATTGTTCCCACAGGTTGTTTTAATGTGGGGACACTATGACACAGCCGCATTGTTCCCACAAGTTCCATTGTGGAAACAAAGCTCCGGCGACAGATGGAGAAAGAACAAAATTCGAGCCGTCTCCGAGAAAATGGGTTTGAACGTTTCTTGCAATTTTGAGCTTATTTTCACAGAAAACTTGAGTTTTAGAGAAACTTTATAAGAAATCATGTAAATCACATGTACTCATAAATGTAATAATGTATGCAAATCTCAGGTAATGTACTAAATATTAACGACGTAAGAATGATTACAAAAAAAATAATTTGTGTAACGTTTGTAAAATAAAAGAATAGAGCAAAATTGCGTTCATACCATCTTATAAAGTACATTTACCACTATCCCTACCTAAAGGTTGAAGAAAAAAATTAGAGCAGTTTTGAAAAATTACTGTTTTTGATATTTTTTAAATTGCACATATTACACTCAATATTGGGCGAAAACTACACAAATTTTCAACAAAAAAGCGTGACTTTTGTGAAAGAACTCATTATTGATGACAAATTTCATTTGAAGGGAAAATCTCTGTCTTCAATATTGTAGTTGTATTGTATTGTATTGTAGACGCCGAAAAAACTCAAACTTTTGCAAATCCCGAAATTTTAGATCTTACATCAGACATATGCCATCTTTATGTGTTACCAGACATTGAAGAAAAAAATTGGATACATTTTTGAGAAACTTTTGAAAATGTCCCAGAGACTTCATGAAATGTACCCTGAAAATTTAAAGAATGTTTTCCAAAATCACAGAGTTTCAAAGTTCAGCTAGATAGATAGGGGAATATCCATTTTGGGAAACAAAAGTGTACGAATAGCTTAGGAGCTAGAGTTTATAGACGGATTGAGGGATGCACAGATGGATAGAAATTTTAAAAAAACAACACTTTTTCGGTGTCAGGGGACCCAAAAAGTCTGCATTTCTGTTGAAATCTCGAAATCAATTTACCGCGGTAATATTTAACTTTATACTATGTATATTACTCTATATATACGCACGTATGAGACAGTAAAAATTAATAAATTTAGCATCTGCGAGTAAACGTTTCTTTACAGAATTTACGAATTCTTATACGTTTGCAGCTCAAAAATATATATCTTCTCCTAGGAGGTATTCGACACTACGTTGATAACTTATCCGTTTTCGGGATGCAAAGATAGTAGAAATGAACATTAAGTTTTAAAGTTCAGGAGAATATTATCTGAAAAACTATATTATTTAACAGTAAAATTAAATATGAATGATAATATTCACGAACACAATTATGTGTTACTACTACGTAACTACGATTTAGATAGCGAGGCCAACTACAATAAGAAATTCCCTAACCCCCACCATAAATCGCTTTTCATTTATTCTCGCCCAATGGAGATGTCATTGGCAACGACCAAAACAAGTGGTGCACATTCATATTTGTGAAATAAAACGTTTTTCGTCTTGTGGTGTCGAAGGGAGCGGTGCAGATCACGTATCGCATCATATAATCTATTCATCATCATTAATTTACAATTCTTTTCAATAGCCATTCAGTCGTCAGAAGCCAATGTAAAGGGAAAACAGTGGATCCTACACATTTCAAATCTTGTAGGGTACGAGAAAAACTCAAGATTCCGACTATTCCGTCTTATTTAAGACTTCATGGAATTTCACGTGCTCATGAAAGAGAAAGGGTGAATAAAATGCACATTAAATCAGTGATCGAATCGATGGTGTTTTGTGCCATCTCCCAGACGTCTATGTTGTCTGTGCCACTGCGTCCCGCTCCAGCCCCGCCGCCCGCGCCTCGTTTGTCTCCATTCTCCTCCAGTGGCTGCGATGATTACGGCGCACGTCGGCGCCAGCGGCTAAAGAAACGGCCCTGCGCCGCCCCGCCCACGCACCCTGACAGACGATACGTCAAAACTACTGGGCAATTCGGATAGTATCTTCTTCTTTATGTAGGGTGGAGTTTTCAATGGGTACAGGCGACTCCGGTTATAGTGAAGTCGAATATACTGAACCATCGGTTTTAGTGAACAGAAGTCTCTGGTCCCGTCTCACATCACAAATAAACATTAGAAGACTCGGTTATAGTGAATCTGAACATCGACTATAGTGAACGTACGCAATACAACGTCCTGGAAATTAATTCCCTCCTGGAAAGGTGTATATCCCCTCAGCACCACAAATTCCAATACTAGGCAGCTTCAAAGAAAGGTTAGGCAAAGGCCATAATAGAAGTCCCCGTGAGGTGTAGTTAGGGAACCGGGAATGGGTACCTTACTGATGACCTTATGTCTCTCATTTCATTGCGTGTCCTGCGTGGGTTACAACTCGCGGCGGCGACGCGCGATTGCTGGACTCGGTATCATTCTTGGTGTTACTTGATATTCTACGGGAGACGCGCGTTGAGTTCTAGGTAGGCGACAGGAAGCACGCGGACGGTCACAGCCTGGCCGCCATGTCGCGTGGAAAGCAATCGGTTTCATTAGCAGTTTAAGCGGTCGCACTACCGAAAGCATCTCGTACGTTAATGGGTAAGTAAAAGGGCTTTCTGAGAGAGGGACGGTTCCAACAGTCCTTGAGGCACTGAAGGGTGTCAATACTGCATTACGATATTTAGACTAAGGACAACGCAAAATCAATTATGAAGAGTGCACGAACTCTAGAGAAGAATCTAGAGAAATTAATAATGAAAAAGTACGAAACAAACAGTAGAAAGTATGTTAATTTTTCAAAGACAAAAAAGATATTGAAATTTTAGAGTTCGTGCTGTTATTGTATTTTGCTGTATCTCTATATTAATAAAATCAATCGATAAGGAGAAATTCTGTTTAATTTTGACATCATCGCATATAGTGAACTTCGGATGTAGTCAACCAAAAAGGTTAGCCCACAGAAGTTCACTATAACTGTAGACTATAGTTTGTATTGATAAGGTTCAAACTGTATGAGCAGTATCTGTATGAATGAACAGTAGCCTCTTCTTTGTAATCAATGATACTAGTCATAGATGAACGTATTTTATTCACATTAAACAACTTCCACATTACACTGGACATAGGAATACTGGTTTAAATTGGGGCATACTTCATTGCGATTAACAAGGTTTGAAATTACTTGTACAAAAGAATATTCCGATAGAATAGGGAAATGCATTGTCAACATCCTAGCCACAGAGTGCAAAGCATTGTTAAGCACGCCTGAAAATATAACCTAAACTTCGTGTGAGTGGGTAATAATAAAAAATTCCCATGAAAACGACCTACAATTTCTTTGTTGCGTCTAGACTCTAGAAGTTTAGGGGCGAGTTTTACTGTAAACTAAAGGCAACTGTTTTTTGACACTTTTCTCATCACATTCAGCTTTTGACATAACTCTTAGATTTATTCCAGCGTTCATTTCCAATGAATGAAACATGTGATTATTACAACGGAATGGATGAAGAACTGAAATGTGAACCAAAACTTGTTCAGACACTTCGAAAGTCGGATGTACGGAAATGTCAAACGTACGGTGCATTTGGGATTCAAATCCGCTGTTCAGGCTGAACGCAGGCTCGTCCCTCAGCTTCATGTTACTTCAGTCTCAGTTTTGCATAGAAAGAAACATGTAATGATTACAACTCGCACGGAAACGGAACGGTTGAAGTGCTACAAACGAACCCAAACCGCACCAAAACTTGTTCCAGCACTTCAAAAGTCGCTATGGGCCGTGCGGGAACGATACATATGGTGGGGCTGAGACCCTCCCCAAAGAGGCTGGAAGCGGCTCGTCCTCGGAGAAACCGCGAACGGAGCAAGAGAAAGGAAATGGAGGCAGCCGTTCCGCGCGCAAGGGGAGGGG